CCATATTTCTTTTTATTTTTTTAGTAAAGAATTGACTGGTGCAAGGTTATTCGCAGTTTGATTTCCTTCCAAGGGGTATATATACTATATGCTACTGCTTCAGATCAAGACCAATGCTGGTTAAATATTTACATCGGTTTCTCTGTTCCTGTGGCGCCGTCTCCATCCTGGTCTCGTTGGTACGAATGAAGATCCGCTTATATCCATCACCACCTTTACCCCAAGTCTCCCATTTCGGGCTCGAAGGAAGCCGTTTGGTGTTTGGATCCAGAGACGTAATGAAGCTTGACCAGTAACCCTGCATCACAGGCACGATACCTGCGTTGGTGGTGTAGTACGAAGCTGGAGCTTTGTGCCCAGTATTGGCCGGGCCCCAGATTGCGTTCACTTCGATGGTGTGCGGTGTGCCCAATCCCGAGTGCTCGTTGCCGGGGTCCTGAACTGCGTAGTGGTAGTTCCAGCTTGGGACACCTGCCGCTGCGTAAATGGAAGACAGATCAATTCCGGGACAGATGTAGCGAATTTCGCCGTACGCCGTGCTTGCTGGTCGCCAATAGGACCCAGCGCCAGGGAATTTTTCCGTCTGGTCTGGAGTAAGATACATACTGTTGATCCTGGCAAGATGGGCTTGTTTTATTGCTGGGAATTGGTTCTGGATGAACGTATCTGCCTCGTCAACGCTGGAGATACTCTTGGTAACGAATTTCGTGCCTTCGTTGGTGTCATCGCCAAATATTACTGGCACCCTGATGAATTTGCCTTCATGGAAGAGACGGTATGTGTAGTCTGGCACCAGGTCCTCGTCGATTGTGGGACCGTACAGGTATAACGGCTTCCCCTTTGCTCCTGGGTTGGGTCTGTTGACGTTCTTCTCCTGCAAAGCACTGACATCGAGGTTGCGCAGACATGCCAGGGTGTTTTTACTACTGTCACATGCAGTCGCAGTTACCAGGGCGTCGTATGCAAATTGACTTTCGGTAACGTTGAGCATCTGGGCAAAACTTTGTGACTCTGCAGCAGCTCCAATAAACAGGCCTTCATCTCTTCCACCATACGCCGAGAGCATGAGAGTCACCGAGGCAGCACCTGCACTACTACCACCAATGACAACATGTTTGGGGTCTCCACCGAACTAGAAAGAGTGTCAAAACCCAGATATCAAACAACAAAAACCACACGAGAAGAACGAAGAATGGACGACTTGGCCTACCTTGCTGATATGCTTCTGAACCCACTTCAGTGCCTTGCGTTGGTCTTTCAGACCATTGTTTAGACTGCCTCCTCGTTCAACCTCTTCCCCAGCAAGAAATCCATAGGGTCCAACCCGGTAGTTGAAGGTGACCACCACCATATTGTTTTTAGATGCCTTGATCAACCCAGTGCCGTTATAGTTGGCATTTGAATTAACTGCAAAGCCTCCTCCTTGGATCCAAAAGAAGACAGGCAGTTTCTTTGAACCTTTTACTGCAGCTGTGGGAGCATATATATCAAGGAAGAGACAGTCCTCTGAAGTTCCTGGTGGGACTGCCCGGCCTTCACGTGCCACCGTGGGGATACATATACTTCCATGCTAGTAGTGAATGGTCAGTGGCTATCTATCTATGAAGAACTAAAAACAAGAGGTACATACCTTAGTGGCTTGCTGTATTCCCTCAATCGACAAGGGATCCTGCGGGGCAGCAAATCGTAGATCTCCTACAGGAGGAGCAGCAAACCGCATACCAAGCCACTGTGTGACTCCAGAGTGTGTATGACCTTCGTACCTAGCATAGCCTAAATCTACCACTGTAGAAGCTGATGCCAGGGATAGCAAAGTGCAGATAGCAAAGAACTTAGCCATGATGACTGACAGTCTGGTTGTGAACCGGTCGATGTCATGGTTTATAAAGGGCCCCGCGGACATAAAAGAAAAGCCGACCCTTGTCCATCGAAGTCACGGTGACAACGCACAGCCAAGTGCTGTGGGAGGGTAAAATGAGGACAAAGCCCTTGCTCCACTGTTGCTTCATTGAGATATGCATACTCGACGCTTGCGGGGATGTGTCACATGTGCCGCAAGGGAGCTTTTCGGGAAAGGACAGTGTCCATGGTGTGCATAAAAGACATAATACATGGGGTTTTCTAGTGATCAACAGACTTGTCGGTCCTAGAAGTAGGTGATAGGCACAAAAGTTCCATGATTTAGGTGTTCCTAGAAGTGATTTTGCTACCTAAGCATGGTACTAAAGCAACTATCTAGTCAGATACACTTTTACAACACACACTTTTAGGGTAAGAGGGACCGTGAGACATTGAAAGACATCTGAAACCATTCAATCTAAGGGTCTAAACAAAGAAGTGATAAGTTCCAGAGGGGATTATTCTCATGTACCTAGATAGATACTCGGGATAGTTTCTTTGTTTATGCTACACCATACAAGTTCATTTTGTTTGTTCCCCAATAAAATAGTACAGAAATGATTTTTTTTACTGTAATCTATCTAGTCTATACCCAATGGAAAATAGAAAATAGAAAATAGTGCATATAATAGTATGTACAGGTGTGTAAGAATGGACTAAATGTACTCCAAAGTACATCGAAGAGCCCCATGCGAATTAACGAGAGCCCCCACTTCCCCACAAAACCAAAAGCCCAAAGCGTTTTCTTTCCGCCTGCGGATCTGCCACTGGCACATAATTACCTGATTAGGTAGTTAGTTAGTGAACTAGTTAACTAACTAACCAACCAACTAACTAACTAACTAACTAGTCAGTTATCTCTGTCATTAGTTATTCCCTCACCGTCTTTTTGAAACATATACGCTAATTTCAATTTGAACTGAGCGTATTGTATTGAACATGTACCTAGGTATGTTTTGAATTCTTCCTTAAGTAGTTACATGTACCCTCTCTATAATTCAATCCTATTCAGACTCAATTCAATTTCAATTTAGATTTAATTTACTTTAGAAGTCCCTACCTAGGTATACCTAGGCTTCAATTAATAACGACAACATACAACATTAGTTTTATATAGTTAGTTAGTAAGAGTGGATCTAAATTACTGCTGGCAATATGAACCAATCACAGAGTTATGTATCGGTAGCATCCTTACCCGTACCCTCCCCCCCCAGGTCTTCTCTCTTCTTCATTTATTTGGAATTCTAGACCATACCTCAACTCTTGGCATAATGGCTTCAGATGATGAAGATGATTATATGAATATGGTCATTGAGGAACCCACTCAAAAGGAGACCTTCACCCAAAAAAAGCGCCGTGAACTACGAGAGGTACCGTATCCGTGTCCTCCACATTCTAACCTCAACGCCATATCCGTCTCCGGCTAAATGCCAACCCAATTCTAACATTCTTTTCCATTTACAGGCTGAAGCTCGAGGCCGAGTCCCATCCAAAGCCGAACGCGCAGCTCGGGAAGCCGCCCGCCGAGAGGAAGCCTTGGCCACAAGCACCCTCAACCCCACCAACAAAGGATTTCAAATGATGGCAAAGCTTGGATTCAAGCCTGGTGGGGTACTGGGCAAACCTGCTGCTAATGACAATGACTCTGGCACTACCAACACTGCCAATTTCCTAAAATCACGCGCTGAACCGCTAAACCTAACCTTGAAAGAAAACCGTGGCGGAATCGGGTTGGACACGGAGAAAAAGCGCAAGCTCCGTGAGGAAGCAGAAGAAGCAGCAAAGAGAATCAAACATGAAGAGGGAAGTTACCGGGATCGTGTTCGTGAAGAACGTGAGTTGAAACGTATCGAAGCGCAGGTGCGCGCGGCGCAGAAAGTTGCAGAGAGGCTGGATGGGGAATCGGAGAGTGGGGCTACCACCGACAAAGAGAAAGAACAAGGAACAGGGTCCTCGGCCAAGTCCAGCAAAGAAGAAGAAGATGACTCCACAGATCCTAGTCAAACACGGGACGGACCCGACGCCCCCGCGACAAAGAAGAAGCCAATCAAGCTCACATCCCAAATCAATGTCCTCTACCGCGGTCTTATCCGCGAGCGCGAACGGAACGATAGTGACCGCCAGGCACGCCATGCTCTCCAGTCCTCACTCCCCTCATCATTTTTCCCCAATCTACTACGCCTGCCAGAATACGATGACTCGACTATGGACCGGGAGGATAAAAGGGCGCTTGACCGTGCACTAGACAATGAACCAGATCAGAATACCTCCACACTGGAGATAGAGTTGGAAGAAGACGATGAGGAGCTCGATGCCTTCAATGCGCTAGAGCCAGCTGAGCGGCTACACAAGCTGGTCCTCTTTCTGCGCGAGAAATATCGGTATTGCTTCTGGTGCAAATATGCATACGAAACTGATCTTGAGTTGGAAGGGTGTCCTGGCCTGACCGAGGAGGATCACGATTGATCTATCAGAGTCGTTTGTACCATCTGGGAATCCTCTTGACACAACAATGAGCTGACGGTTTGGTATGGTACCTAGCACATAGCCCAACCTCTTACGGAAAGGTTTGTATCTCTACGAAATGTCACATTTATCTCACGAATGCTGAGGGGGAAAAAAAGAGTATTCATTATAAACATGCTTCAGTCGTCCTTGTTAAACCATAATATACACGAGGTTCTTGGTATCATAAAAAAAAAGGTATACAGATAAGAAAAGAAAAAGAAAAATAGAAAAAAGAAAAAGAAAAAGAAAACATAGCTAACAGCCTTGGCAGGACCTGTACTTCCTGCGGAGGTTATGCAATATATGCTCTCAAGATCATTTATACCAGTGCACCCGATATGACAAGGATATCAACAAATTAGACGAGTTTATCAACCAACTCCTCGACCGAACGATTCTTGCATTTCTGCAGGATCTGGTAACACGACTCGCAGATGCGCAAGCAACAAAACACACAGCGATGCCGGATCTCAATGTCAAATTTCTGACATGTCATACACGGCATCGGACACCACGTATTCTGCGCCACGGGCATATTGCGATGCTGCTGGTAGCATGTGAGATGGATCTCATTCAACTTCGGCGCCACGGGTTCAACATCCGGAGGGACAAAGGGTGAGGGGGGCCAGTTCCTCGCGCGACAGTTCTGGGACTGATAGTGGCGGTTCAACACTATCTGGGGTCGGGATGAAGTCTGTCGGCAGAGGGGAGCTGGCCTCATCGGCAGGAGCAGGACCTGGAGCTGGAGCTGGAGCCTGGACTAGGGTCGGGACTTGAGGTGGGGGAGAGTATGTCACTGGGGTTGGCTGTTGTTGAGGCGTGTGGAAATCAGGCTGTGATTTCTTGGTCCGCATACCTGTCATCCGAGGGGGAGGAGACTGCGTTGGGACAGGGACCCGTTCAACTGGGCGTCGTTCTGGGATTGCATTTCCGGGAATTGGAGGGAAGTATGGGTTGTTGGATGAGGCTGGAATGTCCACTTTCGGGGGAGCTGGTAGTTCCTTGTCCGGCGGAGGGGCCGGCTTTGGTGGTGGAGGGGCAGGAAAGGATGTCGGTTTAGGTGAGATTGATTCGTCAGACGGCAAATCAGCTGGCAAGTCGGATTTCTTTTGGAAAGAGAATTGCGATTTCGTTGCTGAAGACTTCAGTGCTGCGAGCGAGGGCACACGAAGGCCTCGAGGGCGCTTCTCGGAGTCGAAGATTGCCATATTCCGACAATTATATGTATATTATTTCTGGAATATAGGAAATAGATCAAGCCTTTAAAAGTGAGGGAGACACAGTAATTTAAGGAGAGAAAAATAGGAAAAATTCAGGAAAAAAAAACCCCCCATGGAGAGAGTCCAAGAATCCACTTGATAATTAGCATCCAATTGTTAGCCGATCCAAATGTGGTATTCTGGTATATACTCCTCCGTAAGGATCCTCAATTGCCTATTAAAAACCTATTAAACCCTATTAAACCACATTCCACCTCGAATTACTCCAATCTATTGGTTATCCATCCAATCTTCCCTGTTTCAGATAGTGGGGATAGGATCGGTCTAAAAAGCGCTAAGAAAAAAAAAAAAAAATAGATCTATCGACTTTGTAATATGACTGCGTACTTCGTACTCCGGTTATAGTTAACTAGATTATACAACATTAGTTAGTTATGTTGTAGTAGATTATACGAGTAGATTATACGAGATAAGCTGCGTGTGTATGGAGTAAATTGATTATTTACCCCTGAATTGATACTTTGATGTAGGGTGTACTCCCTACAGAGTACATCTTTTATATCCATTCCTCCTGATATCATATCGAGATCCTATGATTCCTAGATCCATCATATGTCGATCTCAACTTCTCTGTTTTAGGCACTTTGCTTAGATTTCTGCAATATTATTTCAAATTCTTCAAATTCTTCAAATTCAATTATTTAGCGATCGGATTCAGCAACGGGTATATACGACCTGCGTTCTCGTGCAGCCTAAATCAGTTAGTACATTTGTCCACAAAGATCTACCAAATTGGCATTGGCTTACCTCGACATATCGCTCAATCCATGGCTTGCAGGCAGCCCAAGCCAGCAGTCCACCTGTAGCAAAAATGAAAATAAACACTACCGCCTCGTCTTTCCGTGAATCTCGCTCTAATATCGCAAGACCCCGTCAGCATATCTCTTTTATAGCATCCAATTCGGTTCCTCTCGGCTGATCCACGGGTCCGGCAAATCACTTACGGAAGCAGGTTGTGTACACATCTTCCTCCTTCGCACCTTTGCAGGTCGGTAGCTCGTAGTCCAGACAGAACTTGCGATTGCAATCGTTGCAGCTCAGGGATCGATATTTCTGAGCTCGTTTGATGTATTCATCGGTATGTTCAATCTCAGAGCTGAGAGAGTCGCGCTCGTAAAAGCGGAGGACGTGGTCGATGCCGGAGGAGGTTTCTGACTTGGCGGGATTGAGGGGGATGATCGTACTATTGGAGAAACATGTACATTTGCAGAACGAAGTTGGTGCTGTAGGCATTGCGTATTAGTATCACATAAATATCGACGCAAAGATGGTAGCCATTTGATCTCCCACTTGGCGCATTGAGGCGGAGGAGAGGGAAGGATAGCACTTACTGGATGCTGCTACCAATGATGTGACAGACAAAAATGTAAAGAGTAGCAGCAGCAGCTGTATGCTGCGCTGTGAGGACCAGGTAGAAGACATCCTGGGCACACAGTGGACGATGCGACAAGTCCTGGTTTGGCTTGGGTTTAATGACGATGTATGGTCACATGACTATGTACGCAATCCAACAAAGACCAGCCCTGGAGCGGCGAAGATGTCTGGATGTTTTATATATATATATATATATATATATATATATTATGTTTATATTTGATCAAACTTGGAGGGGAAGTTTGGCTTAAATTACATGGTATTTGTTGTCGTTGAAAGGCTATTGGCAGCCTTGTTATGGTATGAGTACCACATCAGAGTCTAGATACACATCACTCAACTTCCCACAAAACTCAGATTTTTCGAATCTATGACTTTCCCTTGATTCCCTTCTTCCGGTTGTCTCTCTGTCTCTGCTCCTTGGCAGCATCACGTCGTCTCTTCTTCCAGGCGCGATTGTTGTCACCGCGGTTCTCCCAGAACCACTTGGCGAACTCGGTTTCTTCCATGTTTGCACCGGCTTCCACGCGGGCTTTTGTGACAGGACTGTCGATCGAAACGTCCTCGTCATCCGAGTCCTCACTCTCGTTCCACGTCATATGCCGGGTGGCCGCAGTAGTGTCGGGAGTGGGAGCTGCACTGCGCTGACCTCGGTTTTGTAGGTCGTTCTTTGTGAAGGGTGTGAAAGGTGTCTGAGGCTCAGCCATTTGAGGCTCGTCCTCGGATTCAATGTCATTGCCAAAGAAGCTGAATCCAGCCTCGGCCTCATGAGCTGGCTGGTTATCGGATGCAGTCGGGGCGGCCCGCTTGAAAAGAGCCTCAAGGGGGTGGACCTCCTTGGCAGATGAATCTTGTTCCACCTCTTGCGCAGCCTCCGTGGGTATCTCATCCAAGTCCGGCTGGCTCGGTGTATCAGAATCACCGTCGTTAGCCTCTGTGGACTTGGAGGTCTCTTCTTGGGATTGCCGCTTGACATCCTCTCCGTCAGAAGATAAAGAAGAATCTTCAGGATTCTCATCGACCTTGCTCTCATTCACCTCGCTCTCCGAGTCACTACCCTCGTCTGAAGATGAGCCACTCGATGAGGTATAATCTTCAGACTCGGATGATTCCTCTGGAGTCTTTTCTTTGCGCGAAGGCTTTCTTGTCTCTTTGGCGGCCAATTTGGCAGCTCGGCGCTTCTCCTTGGCTCCTGGGATCTGACCAGGCCGATAATTATCCTTCGAGATCTTTTCACTGGCAGGTTCTCTCAGATTCCCGGTGGAATCCACCCAGCCTTTTCCATCTTCAAATGTAGCCGTAGGCGCTGCGCTTTCCTCCGCAGTGCGTAGGAAGCTTGGCTGGGTCACCGTCTTCTCAAATTCATGGATGACATTATCCTTGGACTTCTTTTTCTTCTTTGCTTTCTTATCGTCGGAAGTTGCGTCAGATGCTCGGTTGGGTGGGATCGTTGCTCGGAACAGGCATTCGGATTTGTCGGTGTACTTGGACTTGGATTGTAATTTCTCTTCCTTGCTCTTCTTCTCTTTCTTCTCCGACTTTCGTCTTTCTTGCTTGGCATCACTGGACTCGGTCCAGCCTCGTTTCACTTTGCGGTCTGCGGGAAGCTCAAAGCCTTCCACTACACCATCCTCGGGCGTTTCCTTCTTGGTCTTCTTGGTCTTCTTCTTGGCGCTAGAGGGGGCTTCAGGTACCACATCCTCTTCCTCCCGATGTCTCTTTTGAGGGCGGGCGGCCTCGACTTTGAACTTCTTGCCCTTAAGGATGGAGCCGTTTAACTTCTTCTTGATCTTCTCGGCTTCCATGTTTGGTAGAGTCACGTATCCGTAGTTATTCTCGGGGAAGGTGGAAATCTCGTGGAATGATATTTCTGTGGCCAAGTTGCGAATAGAGGCTGGCAGCACAGACGGAAGGATATCCTGGGTGAAAGGCGTGATATGCAGTCTGGTTGTTTCAGTCATTGCCAGAGGATGCTTAGTAGATGAAAAAAGAGTAGAGGTATCACTGATGCATGACCTGTGGAGGATGTCAAGATTACAAGGTAAATTGGGGAAGAGCTTCAACACCGCTCTTCGATCTTTTTTTTTTTTTTTTGGGCAAAAAAAATAATGTACAGACTGATTTTATGCCACCGCCTTTTTAGGGATGTGTGGTTATTGGCTGAGATAGTTCCGAGGTTGGAGATCACAAGTTGGCCTGAATTGGCCTGAATTGGCTATTTCTGCCTGCAATTCCCTAAGGACATCCATGTATCCAATGACTTCACCTTCCCAATCACATAACTACCTAGGTAGTTAGTCAATTAGGTAATCTTTTAGATCTGCAAAGTGCAGCATCTTAAGGCCTATGATGTATAGTATACATCGCATTCAAAGTGGAAGTGGAGTGGACTGTGTAATCTGCCCATGACTTGACGATGACGATGGATCAACTGATGATCCTGGGTTGAGTAGTAAAAAGCTTGCTATTTATCTAACCTGTTTAACTATATAACATACTATAACATACATTGATAGTTATACATTGATATACATATAGTAGATAACCATAACCATGTATCTCTAACTATAACTAACTGTAGTCAGTTATATAACTAGTAATACCATAACTACCTAGGTATAGTCTAGACCTTTAAAATGAGAAAAACAAGTACTCCGTTAGTTATATGTTGCCCACTTATGAGATAAAATCCAAAATAACACAAAAATAACATCCGCCACATCCGATATTTTCTATCTATCTATCTATGTTGTATCTATTTTTTTTTTTTTTTTTTTTTTCTTTTGGAATCTCTTGAATCTGTTAAACACTTTGAATTGTTGCTTGGGGTCCTCACCCGATCTCACTTCCCCAGTTACTCCGGACAGATCACAATATCCCCCCCGCTCTGCTCTGAGAGTTACTCCTCTTACCTCCACTCTATTACAATTAGTCTTCCAACTTGCCGGCCTTAACCTCTTCTCCTTTACCTTTTATCCCCATTCCCCATTTCTACTGCCCACCCAATATAACACCCCCACCCCCTTGGGGGCCTTTCCCGCCATATTCCGATTTGGATCACCGTGACTGTGAATTAATATTTTCCCCTCACATCCTCACATCTATCTGGACTCCCAATATGGGAAACTCCCAAACCAAGGAGTCGCGCTCCACAGCCCCATCAAGTCGTCGAAGTCAATTATCCCCGGGCGCTTCCGATGCCTCAAGTCGACCGTATCATGGTTCTCGATCAGCAAGAGGCAGTAGACCTGACCTTTCGATTCTTGGAATCAGCAATCATGATCGAGAGGTGACCACATTGGAACGTCGGCGGGAGACAAAGCAAGAACGCGAGGCCCGCCGCTTGGAGAAGGAACGGGTGGCGCGTCTCGAAGAGAGGGAGCGTAGTATGAAGGAGGAGCATGTCGATGGAGGTTATCTCGTGACACAGGGCGTGTATGTGGGGACAGAAGACTACAATAAGGTAGTGGTGCGCCAACTGATGGTAGGTTTGCCTGAAATACCCCCTCGATGCGAATTAGTCAAGGCTGACAGCAGGGTTAGATCGAACGCCG